TTTCCAGGTGATATTGGAATTTAGACTTAAGTAGTAAAGCAAAATTTGTGAATTGGTAGAGGCCGTTAGTCTTTTTTTCTCGTTTATCTCCCAAAACGGGCACATTTAAGTTTAGTTAAATTCAAAAACTTTCTTTTACTATATTCTCAAACCGTCATATTTATAAATAAATTAATTTAGCAAAAAGTTTTCGGGGTTTAAGAATTAGTAGTAGGATCCTAAAAGTAATAAAATTATATGGCTAACATCTAGGATTTTCGTACCTAGTATGTTCTAAAACTAATAGGATTACATTGGTAACGACATCTAAAATTCCGGTTATGACCTTTTACTATGAGTTATTATGCTTAATATTATAAGGTTATTTTTGTAAACCAACATTATATTCGTACTTTTATAATAACTAGTATCTATAAACGTGCGTTGCACGTTAATAATGGCACATGATGGTTTAAATATTTTTTTATATGAAGAAACAATAAAATTTAATTAATGAGAGAAAATTTATATGTAATACTACAACAATCATCTAAATGCCGAAAAATATTATTACATTAGTATAATACGTGAATTCAAAATGAAAGGATATCATCGGAACTCACATAGATGATCAATTTTAGTCATGTTAAGTAGATAATTATCTATTGTAGTTAAATGTATCTAATGTGATGGTATCTTACCGAACACTTCTTTATAGATGGTATTTTTTTATATATGTTTCCTTCTAATGCTTTGGTTACTCTGCCATAACCAGAACTCTTGTTGTCAATATTGATATCTCTCTTGAAAGTGCAACATATAGTTATTCGTATTAAAAAAAAATATTGTGATAAATATAGTTCAATATTTAGGATGTTTGTCCTTGTGCTTTATTTATTATAACTACAAACATAAACATATTGAAAATTATTTTCACACAAATTTAAAAGGATATTCTTTTGTTTCGGAAGACGAAAGTTGAATTCGGGGATAAACACATACTTAGACTCACATTGACCAATATCATAAGTTCTGCATGTATGGCGTTATTGTCAAGACTTCTATATACCATATGTATAGTATTACGTAAGCTATTTAGCGAATCTAAGTTTTCAGTAGCATGACAGGCATAAACCTATATTAAATAGAAGATAATTTTAACTTAGTCTATTATATATATGGTGACACTAACATACGTAAGAAATAATGAACTTGACAACAAACATGTACGGTAGAAGGCCAATTGGTATTAAAGTATTTAAGTATTCTTCTTGGTAGTTATTGTTGGTATCATCTTCTGTTGAGTCAAAACTAAAAAATATTTTATTTTTACCATAAAACTTAGCAATCAACCTTTTTATATCTAGTTGATCAACATATTAATTTCTGCTAGCTAAGATAGCTTTAATTTCTATCATGTAATTTGCTCAAATTGCGTATTAATATAATGATGAAGATATTTTCCTTATTAAATGCACTACTATTACCATTGGGGTTGATAACGAAGTGTTCTAAAAGAACCAAATCATATTTTATTGTATGCTCTTCTTTGTTTCTGAAGCGAGCCAAGAGGTCACTGAATGTTGGATCGGTTCTTACTCTTATATTTCTTGTCATTTGAATATTTTCATTTCAGATCATAAGCATAATTTTGACATGTTAACTTTTACAGTTTCTGCTTTGGTCAATTTTGGAACTACTGATCGCACTTGACAGAAATCACCTCCGAAACTATTACTTTTCTACCAAACGGTTCATCGATATCCAATATATCTCTAAAACTATGGGCGATTGATTCGATCGTCTGACGCTTAGCCAAAAGTATTTCATCCCATATTATCACTTTTGCTCTTATAAATTTAGTACTATTGATCTGATTTAATATATTTATGATGGTTATTTTAGTTATTTGAAGAAGTATATTAAATCTAAAGTGAGTTGTACGACCTCATAATAAAATCGTTGTTGGTACACCACTTGTTCTTATTGCTAACAATATCATGCCTCTGGATCTGACATTTGCAAGTAATGCATGACATAGGAATATTATTTCGATTCCGACGGAGGCATCTAAAAAGGATAATCTCGCTATACCAGGATCGATTTTTTATAATATAGTCTTGAAAGCTTATTCTTGTTCAGGATTTAGCTTTGATTGTGCTTCCTCAAACACTTGTATGGCCTTCTTAATATTATATTTTTTTCAACTTGAAAAATAATTTACTCATATGATGAATTTAAAAAATAATTTAATTGGATTCTCTTCCTAAATAATTAATTGAAAGATTTAATTATTTGGTTTTAACATAAAATATAATTTATTTTCTATTGATTAGATTCTTAATATTAGTTCATCTCATATTTGAATATTTAACCGTGATTATAATTTTATCCACCATAAATTTTATTTTCAAAGAGTGAAAAGATCGATGACATTCCACTTTTAAATCTTTATGTTTGCAAAATCATTAGTGGTATTGGCTCTTAGCAACATTTTTCTTTCTTTTCTCACACATTTATATTTCTAAAAAATTTCATAGTTGTTCTTTAATAATTGGTTATAATTGTCTATATTACACGAAAAATTAATAATAATTTTTTTTATTTGAGTAAGAAAGCAGTTCAAATATAATATAATAATATATTATCGTGGAGATTTTTTTCTCAATTTCAACGGTTTATGCAGTCTGTTTAGCGTTACTTTATATTTTTTGGTATTGAATATTATAAAGTGGTAATGTATTACCAATATGGAGAATTCTTATGAAATTGGTTTTATTAAACCTTGCTACATATTTTTAATAAGAATTCAATAGACAAGATTGTATTAATTTTAAAAAATATTAAAAAGATAGTATAGAAGTTATTGTAGTCCAAAAAAATAAGTTATTACAACTATGTCCTTTCCCTCTGAGTTCTTCTATTTAATGTATTAGGGCTATTTTGGTTTATTAATATGATATTTGTGCTTTTATATAATATAGGCTCTCGTGTTTCTAAATGAATTTGGACAATATAATACGTTTTCAAATGAAATTAGTAATAGAAATCTAGAATATCCTAAAAGTAATAGGATTACATGGCTAATATCTATGCCCGAAAATAATATACTAATAGGATTCCTAAAAGTAATCATGTAGGATTCCTAACGTGTAGTATTATGTCCTAAAACTAATAGGATTACAAGGCTAATGTCTAGAATTCCGATTATGTTATTTTGTTGTGAGTTATTATGCTTAATATTAAAAGGTTATTTTTGTAATCCAATATTTTATTTAGCATTTTATAATAATATAGATATAGATATAGATAGATAGCTTTTTATTTTTATTTTTATTTACCTTATCACCAATGGTTACTCTCCATCCGCACGATTGGTGCGGACATGCTCATGGAAATCCTCCACATTCTTTTCGTTTTATTCAGAGAATCGCTTGTCAAATAAATGCAAAAAATAAAAAAATAAAAGTGGAACATAATGATTAAATTCAAGTGCTTAATGTACAACTTGGTATCAGTAGTTATATTATGGTTGTATCAGATTCTATTATTTAAAAGTTGTAATTAACGAAATATTATTAAAATGTTTTATTATGCGTTTGGTAACCGATGATGGTCGACCTAATTGTTTTCAATTCCATGGATATTAATTAAAATTCATAAGTATATCCTAAAAGTAATAGAATTACAAGGCTAACATCTATACCTGAAAATAATTATACTAATAGGATTCCTATAGTTAATCATATAGGATTCTTAACGTGTAGTATTATGTTCTAAAACTAATAGGATTACATTGGTAACGTCATCTAAAATTCCGGTTATGACCTTTTACTATGAGTTATTATGCTTAATATTATAAGGTTATTTTTGTAAACCAACATTATATTCGTACTTTTATAATAATATAGATAGATATAGATATAGATATAGATAGATATAGATAGATAGATAGATAAGTTTAGCCGTAACTTAAAGAGAAAAAAAATAACTCAGCAAAAATAAAATGATGAATACACTGTTTTCCAGATTACTTGAAAACCACTCACATATATTGCTTATAAAATGAATAGAATATGGATCTTTGAGAATAGTAACTATATAGCAATAATTAAACTAGAGAAGTATTTTAGCGATAATTAACAAGGCCAAGAGCACCAGCAAAATTGAGTGGGCAAAGCAGGGGAGTCCATGCAACTGGCAGTGGCACTTAAACCCTGTCTGTTATAACATTCATTCCAACATAAAATCCCCGGCTGCGACCGATGGTCTCCTTCGCACGTCGTTTCCACCCATGCCAGCCCTTCGTTACATGTTTTTGCCTCAACCCCTATCTCATGAACTGCTCACATCAACAAAATTTGCGAATGTTAAATCATTGTTATACATATAAAATTTCTAACAGTAAAACAAAATTGGTGCAAAAAGAATGTCGCTTTAATTATATCCAATGTTGATCAAAGTAAAGGTAGAATATAATTGGGGAAAAAATGTCTTGTACGAGTAGTAAGAACGGAACTGGAAAAAGAAAGTTAATACCTTCTTCATTTAAAAAAACAAAAACTTATGTCGATCTTTTTTTTTAAATCTAAAACGGACAACGGCAGATCTACGTCATCTATTATGATGTCAATTTGTACTGAATTGATCGAACTACAACTGAATTATAACATGCAAGAACAATTCAGCTTTCAAACTTTTGATTTCATAGAAGAAGGGAGAAGGAAGAAGAATGAGCTACAAGCTCTTGTTTTTCTGTTAAGCACAGTAATAACCGACTTAGTCATTTTATAGACTAAGTTGGTTATTACTCCAACTAACACCCACAAGTCTCACTATTCCCACATTAGTCCTACTAACTAATTAACCTCTAATTTGGTAACTTCACACTCCCCCTCAAGCTGGAGGGTGAAAAAAAATTTAACAATCCTAGCTTAGATATTAGGACCCTATGTTGTTCAGCTCCTAACCCTTTAGTCATCACATCTGCGAGCTGCTCCTTAGTGGAAACATATTGAGGTTCAATCAATCCCTCTTTGATTTTTTCTCTCACAAAATTGGCAGTCAATCTCTATATGTTTTGTTCTCTCATGGTAGACTGGATTGACTGCAATTTGCATAGCTGCATTGCTATCACAGTGCAACATCACTGGCTCCTTTACAGTCAATCCCAGCTCCTTCAGTAAGCCCACTAGCCAGACCAACTCTGAAGTTACTACTGCCATACTTCTATATTCTGCTTCAGCAGAACTCCTGCTTACAGTTGGCTGCTTTTTTTATTTCCATGAGATCAGTGATTCTCCTTGTTTTATTACATAACCAGTCACTGACCTTCTTGTATTTGGGCAAGCTGCCCAATCTGCATCACAATAAGCTGTGATTTCTTCTATTGCTCCTTTCTTTAACAGCAATCCCATTCCTGGTGATCCCTTTATGTATCTAACTACTCTCAATGCAGCATCCAAATGTGATTGTTTTGGATTCTGCATAAACTGGCTCAAAACTTGAACAGCAAAACAAATATCTGGTCTTGTAATGGTGAGGTAGATCAGTTTCCCTATTAGTTTTTGATAGCTTACAATGCCCTGCAGCTCTTCATCTCCTTTAACTTCTGCATGCTTGTCATACTCAACAGTTATCAGCTTGAGATTCTATTCTAATGGTGAACTAGCTGGTTTCGCACCACTCAACCCCACTTCTGAGATTAGTTGAAGTGCATACTTCCTTTGATTAAGCACAATTCCCTTGTCTGATCTCATGAGCTCAATTCCTAGGAAGTATCTTAGCTCACCTAAATCTTTCAGCTTGAAATGCTTGTGTAGGGTTGCCTTTGCCTCTTCCACCAATGTAGTGTTGCTGCCAGTAATTAGTAAATCATCCACATACACAAGGATGATTACCAAGTCTGCATCTGTCTTCTTTGTGAATAGGGAATGATTATAGGCACTTTGCAAGTATCCTTCACCTATCAGTGCATCAGTCAACTTGATATTCCACTGCCTTGATGCATGTTTGAGGCCATAAAGGGACTTGAGTAGCCTACAAACCTGGGACTCCCCCTGCCTATAGAATCCCTGAGGCAAGGCCATGTACACCTCCTCATATAAATCACCTTGTAAGAAGGCATTATTAACATTCATTTGAGACAAAATCCAGCCTTTAGAAACTGCTAGATTGATCACAGTTCTGACTGTCACTATCTTGGCAACAGGTAAAAAAGTCTCATGCTAGTCCAAACCTTCCTGCTGTGTATATCCTTTTGCCACCAACCTGACTTTGAACCTATCCACCTCACCATTAGCTTTGTGTTTGATTTTATAAACCCACTTTGAGCCAATAGTCTGCTTTCCTGGAGGGAGATCTACTATCTCCCATGTTTTATTTTCTTCTAGTGCCTGAATTTCCTGTTGCATTGCCTCTATCCACCTATCATCTTGTTTTGCTTCCTGGAAACTTCTTGGTTCCACTTGGGCTGAGAATGAACTGAGATAACATTGGTAGTGTTCTGAAAGGTGATCATAGCTTACATAGTCTGTAACTGAATAGAGACAGTCTCCTCTTGGTTTGTAAGTAGTCACATAATCCTTGAGCCACACTGCTGGTCTTGGTGTTCTTATAGACTTCCTGGTCTCTGTAGGTTGTTGCACAATTGATGGCACTTGCCCAAGTAGCTCCTCTGCATGTTCTTGTTGTTGTACTTCTTCATGTTCTTGTTGTTGTGAGGTACTTTGTCCATCCCTCTCATCTGAATTCAGTATCTCCATGTCATTTGTTGTCTCATTCAGTTGCATATCTGGTGGCATATAAGGAGTGGAAGTGTCTATCTCGGCTTCAATTTCTATTCCCAGATCATTATCAACTATAGGTGTTGAAGTAGGCTGATCTTTTGTGACTGTTGGTAGATCAGTATCAGGAATGAACAAGTTCTCAGGCTGGCAAGGTAAGGTCTTAAAAGGGAATATGTCTTCTCTGAAACTTACATCCCTGCTCACCAAGAACTTATTGGACTCCAGGTCATATAGCTTATATCCTTTCTGTATTTCAGAGTATCCAATGAACACTGATTTCAAAGCTTTTGCTGCAAATTTGTCCCCTCTTGGCAGTGTGCTAGCATAACACAAACATCCAAACACTCTAAGGTGATCTATCTTTGGTGTTTTCCCATAAAGTCTTTCATAAGGTGATTTTCCACTCAACACTGTTGTGGGCAACTTATTGATTAAGTAGACTGCAGTTTTCACACAGTCCCCCCAAAATCTAGCAGGTATGTTACATTGAAATTTCAATGATCTTGCCACCTCCAATATGTGTCTATGTTTCCTCTCTACCACTCCATTTTGTTGTGGAGTGTAGGGGCAACTACTCTGATGTACTATTTCCAAGGATGCAAGTAATTCATTGCAGTTTTTATTGAAAAACTCTCTACCATTCTCAGACCTCAACACTTTTATAGAAGAGTTAAACTGATTCTTCACAAGAGAAAAGAAATCCTTCAGTACCACTATTACTTCACATTTAGAATACAGCAAACAAATCCAAGTGTATCTGCTATAGTCATCTACTATGGTTACAATATATTGTTTCTTGTCATAAGTTGCAGTTTTGTATGGTCCCCAGACATCTACATGTATAAGCTGAAAAATATGATCAGATTGGTGACTACTAGTAGGAAACCTTAGTCTACTTTGCTTAGCCAATGGGCAAATCTCACAGAACATCTGCACATCTTTATTCACTTTATTCTTCAGATCTGGCAAGCATCGCAATGAACCTATAGAAGCATGTCCCATCCTTTGATGCCATAATTCTGCACTTATTTCTTCCTTCTTGACTGATCCAGCTACTATGTCATTTTCTTCATTCCTGATTATGTACAAGCCTTCATCTTCTCTACCAATCCCCAATACCCTGCCATTGTAAAGCCCCTAAAACACACAAAAACCAGGGTAGAAGCAGGCTGAACAACACAAATCTCTGGTCAACTTAGACACTGAAATGAGATTAAATTTGAAGTCAGGTACATGTAGGACATTTCTAATCTTCTTCCCTCCTAGTATTGTTGCATCACCTGTGTGTACTATTTCTGATCTGCCTCCTGTGGGTATTTGAACTCCTCTATTATTTTCCTTGCTGATTCTCCTTAATTTTTCTAAAACTTCTTTACAAAAGGTGATATGGTGTGATGCTCCTGAATCTACTATCCAATCATATGATCTTGCATTAGATAGTAGTGACTTTATACTTGTCATATTTGCTGAGCTTGATTTATTGTTGGAGTTTCCTTCGATGGATGATTTTGTCAACAGGCTCACAAGTGCTTGTACTGATCTTCAGTCATGTAGTTTCCTTGTGGTTGTTCATTCATTGTTACTTCTTTCTCCTGTTAGCATATGTTTTTGTAGCAAACTACTCTTTTTCTTACTTTTGAAATCTGCAGGGTATCCAACTATTTTGTAGCAATTCTCCTTCAAATGCCCTTTGTATCCACAATGTTCACAGATCTTACCTATTTTCTTCCCTTTCATGAATTGATTTCCTTTACCTGCTAACATAATCATTGGCTCCCTATTTGTTTCAACCACTCCTAATTTCCTCTGACTTTCTTCTTGCACTACAACAGCATAGGCTTGATTCACAGTAAGAACTGGCCTTTTTAGTAACACTGCACTCCTCACATGACTGTAACTCTCATTTAATCCCATTAAAAACTGTAAAAGCCTTTGTCTCACCAGGTGATCTACATATGGGCGTGATTCCTCACAATCACATGAGGGTAAAGGTGCTAGGATATCTAACTCATTCCATAAGTCTTTCAGCTTTGAGAAATAAGAGGTTACAGAATCTGTACCTTGCTTGAGAGCCGTAATGTCAGCAAAAATTTGATAAATTCTAGTTAGATCATCTTTGTCAAACCTTTCCTTAAACTCGTCCCAGATCTTCCTCGCACTTGAAGCGTACATGATGCTCGGCACCAATTCTGCCGCTACAGTGCTGCTGAGCCATGAGACGACCACTGCATTACATCTCTCCCACTGCGCTGCCAATTATCCTTTGTACGAAGCTTTCTGACAAGTTCCATCCACAAACCCTAATTTTTTCTTCACAAGGAGAGCTACTCTCATAGATCTTATCCACAGGGCATAATTTTCTGGCCCAGTGAGTTTGAGAGCTATTAAAGCTGTTCCCGGTGAATCTGATCCTTTAGGTATAGTGGATGATTGTGAGAAAGCTTCTCAACTTCATCGTCCGCCATTGTTGCACCTTTTCAAGCTCTGAAATTGACTGTTTTCAGATTTGTGAGATAACAACACTAATCGATCGATAACCGCTCTAATACCATGTCAATTTGTACTGAATTGATCGAACTACAACTGAATTATAACATGCAAGAACAATTCAGCTTTCAAACTTTTGATTTCATAGAAGAAGGGAGAAGGAAGAAGAATAAACTACATGCTCTTGTTTTTCTGTTAAGCACAGTAATAACCGACTTAGTCATTTTATAGACTAAGTTGGTTATTACTCCAATTAACACCCCCAAGTCTCACTATTTTTACATTAGTCCTAATAACTAATTAACCTCTAATTTGGTAACTTCATAGATGCTTAAGCAACCATTGCTTTTGGAGACTAACACTATTACTCATATTTAAAAAAACGGGTGTTTTATATAGATATATGTAATGAGCACCCAGTTTAAATAGCAATTTTCAAATTAAAAATAGTTGAGCACCCATGCTTTAAAAATTCTAGATCCGTCATTGGCGAAACATCATAATTGTAACTTGTAAGGCCTCTTTTTATTAAAATAGAGAAAAGAAAGCCGAAACCAACCGAATTATAAATAATTTGCAAAACCTACATCTCTATTTTTGGGTGTTGTCCCATTCTTGGTATTATTCTCTAGACACAAATTATAAATCCATGGCACGGAAAGCGAAAAATGAGCAAATTAATTAAACGAAAAGAACATCAAGTTTGGACATCTCTCTCTCTCATAAATTAATTATGAGAGCTGCTATTCGGCCAAACTCAACGTGGCCCAAAAATGACCACACTGGTGAAATACCACTAAAGCCCTTCATTTCACATTTGGTTTAATGGCCATTTTTTCCTCCAAAATATTTTCCTCCAAAATTAGTTAATAAATATTGATTATCCCTAAACATTGGTCCCATAAATCATCATTCTCTCATGGGAAGATCAACCAACTTCATATGTATACCTATACTATTACGTATTTATTTTATTTTTAAATAAAATTTATACGGATAGGAAGATCAAAAGCCTTCATATATGTATACCTATACTATTACGTATTTTTTTTAAAATATAATTTATACGATGGGAAGATCAAAAGTCTAGTATCTATACATAATATTATTTTTTATACGGTATAAAAACTTATACCATACACTTATGTTAGGAAAGCCTTCATTAAACGCATATATCACCCCCTTCCCCCTAACCTAAACATGAATGCTAACCTAGTTACTAGTTTGGAGCCATTAAACATGGAAAATAAAACATACATTAAAGAATAATGTTTGTAACATATTTTTACGAATATTCAAAGAATAATGCATATTCTTTGAACAGAAAGCTAAAAAAAGATACATAAAAATTTTTACGAATATTTTTAAGATACAAAAATACATTGAAGAATACTTGGACAATATTTTTACGAATATTCAAAGAATAATGCATATTCTTTGAAGAAAAAACTAAAAAAGATACAAAAATGATATAGCACGTTGATGAGGTAGTTGTCAAATAGTCGTTTATAATAAGGTCATTCGTATCGACCTATAGCTACCATATAAGTCCATTGACTATATGGTTGTAGTCATATAACCTATGCTAATTATATCGTTGTGATTCTTAGTAATATCGACCGTTTATATAATAGCCGTTTATATTAATTTCATACATATCTGCCTATAGCAACCATATAAGTCTATTCACTAGTATGACCTTGTTTATATAATAGCAAATATATAATTCGACATATTTTTATTGGTTAATCTTAATTGTAATAATCTTCACCAAATGTCTTAATTATAATAAAAGAAAAATAATGATTTAATTT